TAGTGACTTGCTCAAGGCCATGCAGGAAAGCAAAGGTTGAGCCGGGATCAGGAACATCTGTCTTCCAGTCCCATGCTTAATCCACTACGTGTTGCTCCGGAGTGAAGCTTGAGTCATTAGTGGTTAGATATGCAAAATGCATTTTATTGATAGGGAGGCAGGCATTGTGTAATTGCTTGAAGAGCATGACACTGAAGAATGAATTATAAATAACATTATGCATTACTGCTCCCCAGTGATTCGTTATTCAGATTTTTCTGTTTTTTCTTTCTAAATTGGCACAGAAAGCAGAGGCAGAGCTCTGGGCATTAAGAAATTCAGAGCTGCAGCAAATACTCATCAGTGCAGATTAGGTAGCAGAACACTGCCAGAAAAAAAGCCCCAATAAAACTACCTCAGTGAACTGCTACCTTGACTTACTGATAAGAAAAAGAAAGAGCATTGTCCTCTGCTGTCACTTGAGCCAAAATTACTTCTTTTTTCATTATCTAGATCAGATAAGTTTTTATCTTTCCTTTTCCATAAGGTAGTTCCTGTGATTTTGTGACAGACAAACATGTAGCACAATCAAATCTTAGTATCAGTGCTTATACTGATTCATGGAAAAATGTTTCCTGAGTGTTTGGATCAATGCATGCAAAAACACAAAAGTTGTGTAGGTCACAGGTATGTAAACTGCATGCCAAGGAGGGCACTATTAAGAGGGGAGCACTGTTTAGCAAGGCATAATTGAGTGAGCATGTGAATACAGGGATCTCAAAAAAAACCCTTTTTTTTCCTGCCATTTTCCTTTTTCCTACACAATGGGAAAAGATTGTGCTAGGTTTTTCCCTTTTTTAGTTCAATCTTCTTTCACTAGTAGTGACTCCACAGCAACCTCATTTCTCATAGCAAGTTCTTTTTTTTAGGCTGGAGATAAAGAGGAGTGAAAGGAAGTTCTGTGATGACAGATAGGGAAGAGTGTTTTGTGCTGAGCCCATGTGCAAAGGGGTTGTCGTGCTCCATGTGTATGTGACTGAGGACATGAGCGTTACTATTTTGGACACATCAAGAAAAGGATAATCGGAGCTTAAAGCCACCACACGTTCGAAGTTACTGTAGCCAAAGTGAAAGGAGTTGAAAGCTGAAACAAGGAGTAAAGCAACACAATGGCTGAAATAATAACATCTAATCCTGAGGTGTGTCAGAAGCAGTGATGGTCACAGGTTTCAGGGTCAAGCCCAGCACCTTCATTGCTATAACCATGACGAATAAAAGACGTGTCAAGAATGAAGTTTGGGGTCATGTTTTTATTTATTTACCCTTCTGGAATATACTGAGTTGCCACAGGATACAGCACTGCAAGGAAATACAAAAACTGAAGCAGGCAGAAAATAAGGAAGAGACCAGGGTGGATCAGAGGGGGCAGCAATGGCCAAACCACTCGTGTGAGCATGTGTTGCTAAGCTCAGGCAGTGTGGAGCAGGCTGGCAGGTACTGAGGTCAGAGGCTGCCCTAAAAAGCACTCCCTAAGGCCTGTCTACAGTATCTGCCACTGGCGGAAATCCTCAGCATTACAAACAGAGCCTGAAAGATGAAATAACCTGAAAATGACCAGAAGCTACCAGCAGGCACGAAAAGAAATACTTGCATTTGCATTTATGTCCTCCTTAAAAGTCATCAGGGGTCTCAATCTTGTCAAAATATCTCCTTCATTTATGTGACTTAAAAATACGATGTTTAGCATAGGGCTGGGATACTGTGTGATAAATCAGGGGCACACAATGCTGTCAGATACACAGATAGCTTCACATAGATGTCACCCTGGTGTGTCTCTTCAGAACTGATGGCCGTTGTTATCTCTGTGATCAGTTGCTTATCAGAGCCAAAGAGTCAAACCATTTATAAATAAGTTCACAGGAAGAACTGGAATAATGACTGGAATCTATGTCATAAAAGCTTCAAAAGCAGAGTAATAGGATAATGTTACATAATAAATTCTTTGCTGAAAATTATTTACTCAGCTGAACAGGTTGTTTCCCTTTGCACTTAGTATTTCCACTTCCAAACTACTTGCTGTCTGTGTCACCACATCATTTCTGAGATTCTTAGCCACTACTAAGGCATAGTCAAAATAAAATGTGTTTTTCCTCTTGCTTGAGAGGAACTGCCACATACATGCAGTTCTGTAACAGGTACATCCTTGCCAATATACTGCACGGCACAGATGTAACCACTGTCCGCATACACTCGCAACATGTGTGAAATACTGCAGGTGCCCAGAACCATGACAAACCACAACAACGTGGGCACTTGAGACAAGATGCAGGTTGTCTGCTTGGGGGGAGGAGGGGGTGGGATCTGGTGGACGCATTCTATGGTTATAAAGTAGGTGATTAGCTCCAGCAGCATTTCAGAGCACCTACACAAGGCATGCACACTCCCACGGTATAGTCAACGCAGGGTTAAATGTTCTGAAGTTGAACAGGCAGTTCAACCAGCCTCCTAGAGCTGAGCTCCAGTTACCTGATAGGTACATGGCTATGAGTGATCTCTGCTGTCTTTGGACCTTGGGTTTCTGACCTGTAGATATTCGTAAAAATACATGTTGGAAAAAAAAAAAAAACAAAAACAACAACAAAACCAAAAAAACCCAACCCACAAGAAAACAAAACTCATCAGCTTATGTTCCCAGTTTTACACTGAGGAAAATAAGAGATCAACTACTTTGTTTTGAGCTTACCTATTTCTACATGTTTTAAAACTCAGGGTGTGCTGTCCTCTTGCTACCAGCCTTCAGTCTGGTTAAAAAGGTATGCCCATCAACAGAAGTGGTGCAGCCAGCTACATCTGGCATAAAAACCTACTGGTTAGAACACTGACTCAGGAAGCCAGATACTTCCATTTGCCAATTCTGGAATGCAAGGCTAGGATGCAAAAGATATCCAGGAGTGGTCCTACAACATCCTTTTCCTCTTCTTTTTCCTCCTACACCTGTATTTTAGATTGGGAAGTGACTATTACAGATCCCTTTTATGCTCAATCCTTGTTTTTGGGTGTGTTTATCCATATTCATAGCACAGATAAGGTTCAAGCCCCAGAGGCAAGGGTTGGGCATTTCTCCCCATGGTTTCTGGATCCAAGCAGAGGTTGGGTGGGAGACCACAGCCATTTGGCTTTCAGGCCAAACAGAGAGGAACATAGTAAGTTTTAGGTGTCTGTGAGGTCACTTGGAGGATGTCTGGGTGTCTTTTGCTGCAGTGCCTGGATACTGTAGGTTCTAACCCTAGTTTTAGTTGTCTGATGAATTTCCCGCTGACAAAAACTCAGGATGCAAATACTTACCATCCTCAACAACGGTATTTTGCCTGCCTTATTGCTTAGTTGTTAAAAAGATATCTTTATGAAAAAAAAAGTACAAAATTTAGAGTAGTGACTTCTGGATAATGTTAATGTTTACTTATTTGTGTCAACTTTAGGAATAAATATTTTTCCAATAAGCTGCAGAGAATATGATAAATTAATTTATTATAAATTAATTGACATGGGAGAGAACAGTCAACATTGGGTTTCCAGTTGCCATTTTTCCAGTGCATGTTGATTTCAGTTGAGGGCTAATGGAGCAGGGGAGATTTTGTCCCAGTGCCTTTTGGTTAGGTACTGACACAACTGTGAAGTCTGTACCTAGTGAAATAAAATCTGATACCATGGGACAGATACCTGAGATATGTTTCTGAAGAAGGAAGAGGCTCTACAGGGAGAGTGGAGAAAGAGGGTTGAAAAAAAAGTGTCGAGCTGTGATAGAGCTAGTAACTTAGACTGCTATGAAAATTCTTTACCTCATTTTGTCATCTTGATAGCAGATTTCTGTCATTGTCAGAAATTTATCATTTAGCAAATAGCAAAATCAAGCAAACAGTAAAGAAGACCAATATTTACTGTACACTTGAAGCAAGGAAATGTGAGAGGTTTGAAAAATGCTGTGCAAAATCTTGGGGAGAAAATAGTTTATTTGTAGGTTTCCAAGGACCAATGGAAAGTGCAATTATATAAATCAAGAGAAGTTGTTTTAAAATTTCACTTTCAACAATTACTGTGCCGACCTGACCATTTTAATTGAGCATTATAAAGGATCCAAAATGTTTCCAGTGCAAATACATTCAACTGCTAGTGTGCTAAAACTTTTTTGATTCATGTTATTATTCTAATATTTTTGCTAGTTTCTTGGGCGTTGGCCTCATACTGATTTCATGGTACATTTGAGGTCTAAACCACAGAGAGAAGGACGGAAGGAGATTATTCATGGACTTGGCTTTCTACAGGTTTTTCTTTTATTTTTTTCCTAACATGGTGGAACTGTTTCCAAAAGCCAGCTGTATGATGCTTCTTGTTTGAGCACATGCTTAGAATTTGTCAGTGAAAAGGAGCATTCCACATAGTTCAAATCCCAACACAGGAGTTTATGCAGCTACGACATCATATATTTATGTTGTTCAGTATCCTAACTAATATTCTAGAAGATGATCTATTTTCCCTGGAGTCTCAGTTTTAAGTAAAAAGTGTTAAAGGCTAGGTTTTTCAGTGATGTGTTGGGAATAATGTTATTTAAACTGCAGAATTCTGGAAGTGGACATTCACTCCAGCCTTTACTTCCTCTTCGTGCAATGTCTGCCCACTCTAGATTCTCATTAATGTTTTTGGTTTGGTCACTGATTATATTTAGTAAGAAAATATGACCTACAATGATCCAGAATTACCACTAAGTGACACCTGGGCCGTTAAGCTTTGACTGCTCCCGTGCGAATTAATGGCAGAGCTCCTAATGACTTGCTTAGCATTAGTTGGGACCTCTACAGAGCAAATCAGTTTAAGGAGTTTTAAGCAAATGGCAAGATCCTAAATTCACTTCCATGCTGAGGCTGTATGCTTACTTTGCGGTAAGTGTTCCTCAAACTTGTCTAAGTCCCCTGCAGTTGTTTGGGGTAACTTAAAATTCCTAATTGTCTGTGTTCAATTTCCAGAGAGAGCATGTGGGGCTGTGCCAGGTCAGCTGTTAACCCTTTTCGTTTTTTCAACTCCAGGTATGAAGCATTTTATTGTGTATTATACGATGTTCTGTTTTATTGACAACGTCTAGTAGCAGTGCTTTTTGGCTTTCTTTCCCTCTTTATGTCATGGCTGGGGGATATGCGGGGCTGGGCAAAGTCCAAAGTTGATTTTTGCTATTGCTTTTTATATTTTGCAGTTGGGAGGGTGGTGGTGTGCGTCATGGGAAAGCTGCAGATTTTTTTCCAAATCCCAATGGCTAACATACAAGAATAGGAAAAAAAAATATTGTCTGATGTTTGATAATGCAGTTAAAAATGTCCAAAATAGTCTGCTGAAATTGAGTAATATCTAATTTTACCCAAAGTTAACGTGAATCAACGTAACATGTTATAATGGGTCATTGCCAGTTACCATGAAATAATTGACAAGCAAAGATGTAAAATGTAGGAAGAGGTATTCGCAAACATCTTGATTTTTTTTTCAAGGAGGCCAAAATTTTAAAACCTTACTGCAGAATGCACCCAGTAGATGCCCTGCTTTAGAGTGCACAGTTTAAGTTCAGTGGGAGGGGGACTGGGAGGTTCCAGCGAGTGTTTTGATGCCATAAGGTGCCTCAGGTTCACCTCACTTGTCCAAGTAGAAATAATGTCATGTATGACAGAAGGGATGTACCAGCGCTGATAGGGTTCATGTTTTTGTTGGATTTGTTGCTGTTGTTTTGTTGGGTTTTAAAATTGTGTGCAATTAAATGTCCGCTCTCAGAGTGCTTGCTTGCTTGTTTGTCCCCTCTGGTTCTTTTGTTTGTTTTGTGGGCCTCTAAAAAGATTCCTTTGGAGTCATGTTCATTGTGTGACAAGTGTAAACCCATCAACTCACTGCTTTATCTACACTTAGTAATCCATGGACCCTCGTATCTGTGGAGTACAGAAGGAAAAACAATTTCATACATTCAGTAGAAGCAAATAAGTTGCAGAATACATCTAATTCTTCACATTTGTAAGTAGAGCTAAGCTTCATAATAGAATTAAGAAGACAGCATGTTTAAGAGCAATTACACTTTCAAATTGCTAATGAGTAGTCAAATACAGAAATTATTCCTCAAATCTACTCCTATCTCCAGTTTGCAGTTAATTGCATTACAACCTGTTTGTTTATATTGAAAATTTGCAGGATCTATTACTCAAACATTTTCAAAGTAGTAGCAGCAGCATCTTCTCTGTTAAAGCCAATGCAAAGTTTTTAAGGTTTCCTTGGGTACAAAATTGAGATGATATATTTATTTTTAAAAAATCCTTAGAATTTTATTTGATCTGATTGAAATTATCAGTGCAACTTCAAAAATTGTTATGAAGAGCCTACTAGTCTCCCAAAATGTTGTGTTTCAAAAATAAATTTACATTTTGGATGCAATTTTGAATGCAGGCTCCTTTAGCCAAAGTAAGCAATAATGTTCTGTATAATCACTAATTATATTAACCTCTATTCTATAGGAAACATTTTCAAGAAGGAGGCCTATGTTGTCATGTTTTTGCTCTTTTTTTTAATTCTGTCAATATTTTTCTCAAAAAATTGCTCATTATTTAACATGTAGAGTTTATACATACCATAAAAAATGAGATCCTACCACTGAGGCCCCCTGAAACATGCATGGTTAGATGTATATGAAGATGGCAGAAGTCATGTTGTGTACCAGTTCTAAACCACTGAAAGTCTGTTGGCTTGGACTGGAATGAGATGAGACTGCGATGTAATGTTTTGGTGAGGCAAATAGCTGCTAATAAAAACAGAAACTTGGAAGAGCAATGTAGGGTCTTTCATGTCTTTTTAAAATAAAACACCAAATTGTTCAAGAAAGTCACATCTGTCAAACTTGGTTTAAGCAATGTGGATCTGTTTGTAGAGTGAAAGGTGGAAATGAGACCAATGAGATGAATTTTTAAGTCACTTGAAAGTATGAATTCTTATGGTGCACGTAAAACTGTTCACACTGCTAGGGGTATTCATCGCAGCTGGTCTTAACTTCTTGAAGCATGGCGCTGTTGCAGTTCAGGAACAGTAACTGCTTGTCAGAAGTGAACTCTGCTGCAATTAAATACAGCTATGTGAGTGTATATATTTCATTTGAATGAAATTTCATGCAACCCTGGTTTTGGGTTGGTTTTTTTAAAATTTGTATTACTAAAGTTATCTTTCTACTAAATTTCAAGAGAGTTGTTCTTCCATGAAATTGCACTCAACAATATGGTATTTTAGTTACTAAAGTACAGAAACATTCTTAGATGTTTGATTTTGTTTGTGTTCTTGGCAGAAGAAAATGGATCACAAAGTCTTGAAGAAATAGTTTTTTGTAGGCTCCTTTCGCCTTTTTTATTGGGCTCATGAAATCTACTAGAGGCTGTAAGTTTTACTCAAAACCTATCCCACACAAATATTCTACATCTGCTGACCTCCATGGATGGCCGCAGGCTGGGACTGTTGCTCCAGTTCATACATGTCTAACTGTGCTTTTCCTGTAATATTCTGAGCATTTTGTCCATACTGCCTCCCCTGATCCAGAAGTGCCCTAATCCACCATTTCACTAGTGACAAAGTGATACTATGTGTGAGTTGCAGATGTTGGTGGGTTCAGTGTGCCTCTTCATCCTTGATGTCTTGCAAACAGTACTGCTTTTGCTCTTGTATAATTTACCCCGCTCTTCTTTTTAACACCTCATTCCACAGGCTCAGCCAGATGGGAGATGTTTGGCAGCTGGAGGACCCAGATACCAAATTCTGGAATACAGCTTTCAAACATTGGCGTGTGGGTTCATGGCTGGCTTCTTGGCTAGCTGTCTGGCTGGCAGCTGTAGTACTACCTCTGGGGCTATGTTAGGGTCAAGCTGCTATGGAGCTGGATGATTTTCCTGATCTGAATTACCCTGACGGACACCATTTTCACCGTAGTTTACTTTGACTCTCCACTATTCAAAGACAAACATTTACACTGTTCTGTTTTATTCCTGCCATTTGTAAGACTAACTTGAACCAGTAGTTCTCATTCGTCACCAGTTCAAAAAGAAAATAAGCATTGCAGAGTAGACTGTTGCACTTGTTAGGTTTCCCATTTCAGTCCGTAGGAATGTAAGGCCCAAGTCTGTACTTGCAGTTCATCTCTGGAACCAAATTGTAACTATAGAGCCACAGGCTTTAAAAAAATTGATTTCTTTTATCGAAACTTTGATTGCTTTCAGCCATTAGTGAATTAGCCTCTGCTGAACAGAAGAAAAATACACATTTGTAAAGACAATCTGGATCATTTTTAAAGAAAAAGGATAAAGAATAATGATGATGATAATAAATAGGACATTACTGTTAATAATTAAGACCGCTGCCAGAAGAAAATGCTTGATCTTCTCTTTGCCTTATTTGGAATGTCCTCATTGCATACTTTAGTTTTACCTCAGGTTTTGGGTTTGTTTTTTTCCTCATAAATGAGGTAGTGAAAAATTAGTGCATATAGGATAGCCAAAGCATTTGAAGTTACTCCCTAATCTATGCCTTTTCCTCCGTGCAGCTCAGTGCATAAACACTTTCAAGTGGGAAAAAGTGCAAAATCAGGAGGTTACTAACACTCTGGATACTTACAGTACAGTACAGATTAGTCGTACCTGCTATGAAATTTTCATTCCCTTGCTCAGCTGTAGTGAAAGTATGTTGTGCTACACTGCGGACAGTGGTATTTCTATTACACACTCAAAAAACTTCTCTAAAACTTGAGCAAATAGCACTTGTGCCTCTCTTGGACACGAACTTCCACCTGTATGTTAAGGTTAAGCTTTGCAGGGTGATCTGACCTCTGAGGAAAAGCACCTGAATTCCCCATTGTAATCACTAGAGGGAGTTGCATGTCTCAGGAGCAAGCAAAAAGGAGACCCTACCTACCCATCTAGTTTAGGTGTATACTCCACTGACTGCCAAGGGAACATAAGTGCTTCCATAGGAATACAGCCTAGTTACATTAGATAGGTCGTTATGGACTATATGGAAACCAGTAGGGACTAAAAGCATCTGCTTTACTCAAAGGTAGTCCACCTAGCCCTTTCTGGATGATAACGGAGAAGGGATGATTCTTCTGAAAAACGAGCTGGCAGCAACAACAGCAGTGTACCCACCTTTTGCGGGAAAGCTTTGTTAATGAGCTTGTCAACAAAGCAGGAGACCTGAGTTTTAGGTTCTCAGTACAAGCATCACAGAGGTGTTTTAGTCATTAGCATCCGTGGCACAGGCCCAATCACGTAAGATACTTGGGCAGCAATGGAGTCTCCGATCTTCCTTCTTGCCAAGTATGCACCATTTTATAGACAGGAGCACAGAAGTCACAGAATGGGAAGGAGAGTGGGTAAGAAGAGCCCGAGTCCTACCTGAGCATGGACAATACTGGGGCTCCATTCCCTGCAGCAACATTAAGCCAGAAACAGCTGTGGATGCTGAAGCAGAGCTTTCACTATTCCCCTCTTGGAGCCGAGTGTCCAGATTTCTAGTACGGAGCCAGGATCCCCTTTTCTACCCAGCCTTTCAGCCTCATGGTTCTTGCATTCCTGGTGGGAGAGTAGCCTTGCTTCTATGGACATTCATGCAGGAAACCTGAAGTCCTCATAGCTGGGTTATTCCTGGGATGGTAGAGACACTGAATCAACCGTTCTGTCTGAGGACCTACAACCAAACTCCCTCCTTCCCTGGGCAAATTACTTCACCATAAGGCTACAATACAACAAGCAGCCAGTGCCACCACCATCAAAGCTCTGCCTGCCTTTTGTGAGCTTCTTCACAAGACCTAGGCAAAGTTCAGGACATTGCCCTGCCTGTAGGTGGAAAATGGGCACCTGCCAGGAAGGGCATATGTGAACATATGCCTGTGGTAGGTGCCCGAAGAAGCTCCAGCTTAACAGTGAAGGACTTCATGAGCTTAGGGATGTGCTGGGTAGCACTGTTCATGGGACAGTGGGTGGGAATGCAGCCATGGACCTTGGGAAGGCTTTTGTCTGCCTGCTTC